ATTAATTATATATAAATTAGGTACTGTATATATAATTATATATTAACTTAATTTATTGTAACTTTATTATAATTATATATATACTTTCCACCATCTAGTGCCACGCTACAGAGAGTTTAGGCAAGTAAGTTGAGTTTACTATCGTCTGTACAGTACGTAAATTAGGTACTGTAAGTCTAATACAGCACTAATTTTATACATTTCTTGTGAAAGAAACATTTCTTATTCAACGGCCATAAAATTTATTTATATTAATGATGTCTCCAAAGTTCAACAAAGTTTTTGCAGAAAAATAACTTATCAGAAATCGCAGCCATCGTTTGGTGCGCTGCTCCGCAACAAAAACACGCTTAAGCAATGGCAACGTCAAACAGTGCACACTCGGTAAGTAATCCTACAATTTTTTGTTTATAGCATAGTTATATGGATTATTCCCAAAAAATTATACATGTTTTGGAAATGTTGAGTGGAATTAGTCTAGAATTGACTAATTTTATGGAAGAAAACCTTTCAAACAACCGTAGTCCGTAAACTTCACACGTGTCGGGCTGTGATTCGCTCATGTATTTAAGGATTTCTACAACGTGAAATTCTTATAACGTGGAACGTATCTATGTGTTATAGGAGGGTCTACTGTATTTAAAATGCTCATATTAATAAAAGTTTAAAACAGTTAAAATCTATTCTCTCACTTACTCATTAGTACATAAATAAATAAATAAATAAATAAATAAATAAATAAAAATATAAACATCTACCAAAACCCGATGCTTAGCAAATAGATATCCATGATATTTCCAAAATATAGCCCGTAACTAATTGGGCTATATTTTGGAAATATTAATTTTGAATTACAAATAAATTTGGCACTAGAGAGAGGCATTAGGTGCTATCTCATATTAAATTTAATAATTATAATATTTAATTAATTAATTTCAAGTAAACTAGAAGAAAAGAATCTGCCCAAAGTGAGACTTGAACCCACAACTCCTGCTTACCGGGTAGCATAACTAGCAACATGTCTGCATGGTAAGCAGGAGTTGCGGGTTCAAGTCCCACTTTGGGGTGATTCTTTTCTTCCAGTTTATTTGAAATTAATTAATTAATTATTATAATTATTAAATTTAATATGAGATGATGCCTAATGCCTCTCTCTATTGCCAAAATTATATGTAATTTGTAATTAATATTTCCAAAATATAGCCTGATTAGTTACAGCAATTGTGGGTGTGTATTTAAATAAATAAATAATGAACAAAACTAAAAATATATCATTTGTGTTAAGATTCTGTTATATTATAAGATTAAAGAAACATTCCTTTATTATTATAAACTAGAAATTCTCCCATCAAGTATGACAGAATATTTCTTTTATGAGAAAGAGAAGACTTGAGAAGAGCTTCAAGCCAAGTTTGTAATGCTGTTTCTACAGCCCTTGACAAAGCCATTCTTATTCAATGTTGCTCAAGTCGGACTTCATGGCCATCAGGGGTCTCGGTTGTTCTTATTCTTTTAGATCTAGAATTTACCTGACCAATTTTACTCTTACTATTTTGAAGAAAAAAAATACCTAGGGGAAAGTGCGAGTCTTTTTAATTCCATATTGATAAAACAAAACTGAATTGTATATATTAGTTAGATTAGCAATAACACTTTATAAATAATGGGCTCATTAAATCATAAATTCCTATTGGATAATAGAACATCACATGGTCACTATGAAAAGATTTTTAAAAAATTTGTTATGAAAGTGACAAGATGTGGCTATCATTTTTAAAGTACAGTAGACCCCCCTATAACGCTTAGATATGTTCCACGCTAATCGAATTTTACCTTGTAGGAACGATTAAATACATGAGCCAATCGCAGCCCAATAGGTGGGAACTTTATGGACTAAGGCTGTTTGAAAGGTTTTCTTCTATAAAATTAACCGATTCTAGACTAATTCGACTCAACATTTCCAAAACACGTATAATTTTTTGGGAGTAATCCGTATAAACTATGCTATATACAAAAAATTATAGGATTACTTACCGAGTGTGTACC